AGTCCTGTGAGCTGGGTGCTCCTACCCACAGAGCCTCTAACAGGCTGTGTGACCTCAGGATAGTGGACTGATCTCTCTGAAACTCATCTCTACATGTGTACTACGAAGAAACTGGACTAGATCATTGCATTTATGCTGTGCCAAACCCAATTTATAGAAATGACAAGTCTCCCTGGAGGGAGTTTCTAGTCCAGTGAGAGAGCCTGCAGACCTCAATACTTTGGAACGGTAGGCCCCATTTCCTGATTTCTGGCCTGGTTCCTTCTGGAAGACACCGATCTCTGGTAGCACTCATTTGGCATTTGAGTTTCTATTCTTTTACCCCCTGCTCTCTTAATAAAAATGCGAAAATCTCACCCCATGCATGGACTCCAGGTGGGGGCTGGACACTCACTCACTGAGATGTCTTCTACATATTCCCACCAGGCTGGGAGCACTGTGGTGATGTTCGCTTTTGGGTAGTTTACATCACAGAAACAATTTGAAAAGGTGCGGGGGAGAGCTAACTCTTTTCTAAACATATAACACAAACACTGACTATCACCTTTGTATTACACATGGCTCCCCAAACATTCTGACATGTCCACTTATGTATATGGCGAAGCCCCTCCCAGGTCCCCTTGCTGCCCTTGCTACTACTCAAGTCTCTGGCTGAGATGACCACTGGATAGCCCAGCAGAGTCTTCGAGTAGGTGGCAGTCAACTGTGGTCAAACTACACATGAACATGAGTTATGTTTAAAGTTAGAAGAAATGCAGTAGCTACATGGACTTCTCTGTCCCACACCCCTTCTTCCTGTTCTGAGAAGCCACTCACTTCCTTCAGCGTCTCCTCTGTTGTGTCGAAGTTGAGGTTTTTGATAAACAGAGTACACCCTGGGAGGCTCTCCTCCTCCTCCTCCTCCTCCTCCTCCTCCACTTTTGCTATAGAGTTGTCTGCTCCTCCTTCTGTTGGCTTTTCACCTTCTGGTGTCTTGCTGTCTGATACTGGACCCCATCAAAAATAAAAAACAAGTCCATTAAATGATGTCTAACCCACCAAAGCCCCAGAGCCTAAAGCACAGAACCTACAAAATCAAAGGGGTTCTGCCTCTGTAGGTAGCGTCAGGAAGAGACAATGCAATTCCCAATTTATGCTGAGGTTCTGCAACTGGAGAGAGAGAGAGAGAGAATGTCCTGCCCCTGCCTCTGTTTTAAAGACAAATATAAAACACAGACTAAAAACTATGAGCCTTAAATAGGACTAACCCACCCTAATTTGAACTCCAAAATAAATTACTAGTGAACTGTTGTACTGACTCATGAACCTAAGCGAGATGTTATTTTTTTCTCAAAACACAGCATTTAGTGGACTTTCAAACTCAAATGCAACCTAAAACTTTCCAAAAACTACAAAATGGGAGCAAAACTTTGAACATTCTAAATATTCCTTGACCTAAAGGATGTTATATTTGATTAAAATTCTCAATATACATTACTTAAGGAAGTGTATACATAAAGAAGTGTCGTTTTGTCTATACACAACATATTAAATTGAGAGTTATGCATAAAAGTGAAAAACTGAAAATACTACCTGTCTACAAACAAGAGATTAGGTAAGTTATAGTCCCACCAAAGGCTGGAATAATATGTAGTCATTAAACATGTGCCCAGAGAATGTTTAACAACATGGAACAATGTTCATAATAATAAAAAGAAAGAGAAAAACTAAGATATAAAAATTGTACATCTTAATTCTAACCACGATCTGTATGCTGTTTATGAGAAAGCACACCTGTGCACACACACAAACACACACACACACACACATGAGATGACAGGAGGGAAATGCATAAAGTGCTTGGGGTTATTTCTGGAGAAGGGGATTCCAGGTAGCTGTCCTGTCAACGTGTTACCATGACCCCTTGGTACCAGTCCTGCTTTGAAGGAATAGCATTTCAGGGAGAGGGAAGAGCAAGCGTGAAGTTGTCAGTGAGCAGGGACTGTGTGTGTGTTGTGTGCAGGCGTGTGTGGCTGCAGCTCAGGGTGAAGGGAGTGGGGAGACTCGGTGGGCTGCCTAGCTTGGTGCTAAGAGTGTAGATTTCACCTGAGGGTGATGGAAGCCTCAGAAGGTGAGAACAGGGCAGTGACAGGGCCTTTAGAGAAAGCCTTCTTCAAGGAAATGTGTTCAGTTTGATTCAGCCTCCCCAGTGCCTCCAAGTCACATGATCAGGGCCCAAGGGCAAATCTCCCCTCCACAGACAAGGCTTCTGAAGCTATTCCCACATCCCCCAGGAAAGGGGCCCCTGTCATGGCAATTCTTCAAAGCAGACTGTGCCCTCACACCCTGTACCCTCATTGCTGCTGAAGGAAGCCACCTCCCTTCTCAAAGATTTCAACCCTGCACACCCAGCTGGCGGCTGGCGGCTGGCAGGATGTTCTTTGAGGTCACACGGACAGGTAGCCTGCAGCTGATGGAAACAGCCCACTTCACCCCCAAACACCTTCCCTCAAATAGTTCAAACTTCTATGTGACCTAAACGGGCTTCTTGGGGTTCAAATCTGTCCCCCACACTCCCATGCCAAGCACCAAAGATGTATGTCTCCCCTGCCCTTTCTGAGACAAGTCTCATGCTTTTAAGCCCTAATTAAGCTTCAAAGCTTTCTCATAAAGCAACCCTTTTAAGCCCTAATGGAAACAGCTATGGTGATAATGTTTTCTCTTTAACATCAGTTGAACATGCAGCCTTCACCCCTCCAGCTCCCTTGGGGTAAGCCCAGAACCTAGACTCAGGCCCTGGGACAAAGAGAAGAAATCAACATAAAGGCTCCCCCCCCCCCCCCAGAAAACGAACACAATTTACCCAACAAGAGACTCCATGGTGTGGCCATTTATACTCAAAACCCAATTCAAAGAAAGCAAAGTGGGAGGAAAAGCATCACTAACAACAAGGAAGCTAAGCAAAGCTCGCAAAGCAGCTGACTTCACGGCCTGAATGAGAACTTTAATCTGTGACCTTCAGCGAATGGTATTTCCACCCCACTGGCTCTTCCTGGCATTCCAGTCTCAGAGATGAAAGGAAAAAGAAAGAATCACTGACTAGATCTCCTACTACGCACCAGGCCCTTGGCAAGAGGCCTTAAGTACACTGTTTCATTCATGACCACAGCAGCCACAATCACAAAAGATGAGTGGCCCAAGGAAAATTTTGGAGGCTGTGTCTACACCCTAAATCTCAGGCACCTTCAGGTCGGCAAGACACGTTCATGAAAACCGAAAAAAACATTTTACAGAGAAGAGTGATGGGGTGGGAGATGGTGACCAGGAGGGCTTATGGCCAGTTTAAGGGGACAGCCCCTCCTGGCACAGTAGGAGGTCAACTGAATGTGACCAGAAGTTCGGATCTTTTGAGAGAAGCTGAAAATTCAGCTTTTTGCAGGAAAACCCATGGTTTTTAAATCTTGGTGACTTAACCCAATGGCATGTGGCTTTTGTACTAGGAAGTGGCCAACAAATAAACCAGCTCATGAGGACCTTTGTGCTCTGCTCTGTGCATCTGGCCTGTGCACAGACCATCAGCAAAGACTAGTGGCCCTTCTCTTGTCCTCTCGCAAGGGCCTGGAGCCCAGCCACTTCCCAGCATGGCATTCTGGGAGTTTGAGACTCACAAGGACAACAACCTGGGGTGCCCTGCAGCCCTCAGTGTGGCCGGAGTCCGTCCAGCCTGCCCCTCTGGCCCATGAGAGGTGCCTGGTCTGCCTCTAAGAGCTTCTTTGAATGGTCACAGGCACCTGGCCAGGGAGGTGTGTTGTTTGGGTTTAGTGACAGAGCTGAGCTGAGCTTAAGGTTAGGGTCGGTAGCTCGGGAATGGATGGATCCCTTCTCTGGCAGGTCAGCCACCCTCTGCCCCAGCCCAGGAAGAACGAGAGGGGACCTACCTGGGGTGTGCGGCTGGCCTGGTATGGGTTCACTGGCTCCTCTAACTCCAGTAAGTCAACCAACACCCCTGACCCCCAATATCGGAGGAACATCCGGCATGAAATCAATGATGTGTTTAAATGCGGCCTGGCTTCCTCCAACAGCACAGGCCCTGGCTGACTCAGATGTCATTCTTTCCCGAAACCTCTGCGTCCACCGCAACACACTTGCTGTGCCTAAGACTTCCCCTGCATGCTGGAAAAACTAACCACACAAGCGCATCACAGTCTTCGGAGACCTGCTAAAGAAAGGGGGCCTGAAGAAAATGGGAAGGGGGGCCCACAGAGTGCAGTGAGGAGATGGTGCAGAGCTGTAACGAGCCCATGGGTGGGGGAACGAGAGGGAGCCAGGTCAGTCCCAGCTCTGTCACCTACTGGCTGCGTGGCCCTGGGCGAGTGACTTACCCACTCTGCCTCAGCATCCTTATCTATAACATGGAGTTTAATAAAAACCACATACATGCTTTTGCACTTTGCTGGGTTGTTCTGAAATATAAGTGTCCGCTACGCCATCCACACACCTGTCCGAGACACCATCACCTCTCATCTTGATGACTGAGTAGCCTCCTCGCTGGTCTGTGACCTCATTCCTTGCCCTTGTCCCTATCCATTCCAACAGCAGGGGCCTCTTTTCTGATTGCCAAGCCCGCCAAGCCCCTCCCCACCATAGGGCATTTGCATGTGCTGCCCCTGTCCCCATTCTGCTCACCTCCCGCCTTCCCAGGCCTGGCTCCTTCTTCCCATCAGGTCTCAGCTCTCACATCCTCCCCAGAGAGTTCTTCCTGTCCACTCTCCCAGACTGGTTACTCACTGTCGCATTCCCTGGTTTCCTCTTTTCAGAGTCCTTATCCTGTTCTGAAATCACATTATTTACCTGTTTGCTTCTCTGTCTGTGTCCCCCAACTGTAAGGGGAGCTCAATGAGGACAGGACCCAGCCTGACTCAGTTACTGTAGCACTCCAGCACCGGGCCCAGAGCAGATGCTCCAGAAATACTCATGGATGATAGATATGTGGGCACTCAGCATGTGCCTGGAATACAGCAGGTGCTCAGCAAAGGGCACTCACTGTGCTCCGGGGGAGCTGTGGGGTCTTAGGTAAGAGCACAGACCTCAAAGCTGATGGCTTGGGTCACATCTGGCTCTCTCCACATGTGAGACCTCGCACAATATACTCAACCTCTCTGCACTTCCTTCTTTCCATCTAAAAAAGGAGATGGCAGTAATGGTGCCTACTTGCAGGACGATTACAAGAATCATACATAGAAGGCTGTTAGGGCTGTGCCTGGGACCATAGGGAGTGCCTGAGAAATAATTTTCAGTATTCTTAACAGCTCCCCATGTCCCCACACTGCGCAGCCAGGCCTTGATAAGGAATCCAGGGTAAAATGTCAGAAATCCCTAACCCTGGGAGAAAGAAGACAGCTTGGCTGCAGGGAGCGGGCCCTCCTGTCCCTGCTCTCTGCAGGGTGGACTGCCTGCTGCAGGCTTCTGAGCAGGTCAGCCAGCGCCACACTTCGAGCCCAGGGGACAGTGTCTCTGCTGGCCACCAAGGCACCAGGTCAGGCCCTGCTGTGGCCCATGCTGTCTCCAGAGAGGTGTGGAGACAGTCAAGAGCCAACATGACAAAGCCAAAGGTCATTTTAAAAAGATGCTCCTGGCCCCAAGTGGGGAGACAGAGATGAGAAAGAAAAAATAAGGCATTGTGAAACTCAAACAGATGTTTGCCAACAAAATCACCAGGCACCAGAAAAAGAGGGAAGAAAGGAAGCAGGGTTGGGCTGGGGGGTGGGGAGGACTCAAAAGCAAGGTGGGCTGGAGGGGGCTGGGAGAAGCAGGGGAAAATGTGCTTCCATCCATAGTTAGCACAATGAAATCCAGTCACGCATCGCCACATGGGGCTTTATTATAATCAGGCCACAGAATTTACTGCGGCCCCCTCCCCTTCCCAGGCTCTCCGCGCTAAGGCTGACAGCAAAGACTGTTATCAGTTGCAAGCAGCTTTTCAGGACCTCCCCCCGCTCTGAGCCCTTTATCTGGAGGTGAGGGTCTTGGTTGTGGGGAGATAAAACATGCTGCACCCCTCCCTCGAGACTGGTACAGAGAACAGAGGAGCTGTGCAGAAGAAGGGGGGGTAAAAAAAAAAAAAAGGCCACTCTCCTCCTGCTCTCCTTCCTTCAGAGCCTGAGAAAAGCCAGGGCTTCAGGCTGAGTCTCCCCAGCCCTGGTTGTCCCCCTGCAACAGTCAGGGATCAGGTGAAGCTTCTGGAACAAAGTGAAAAGGGCAGGGGTGGGGGAGGAGCAGGTGAAAAGGAACAGCACAGGGGATGGGGGAGGGGCTGTATATGGGACGAGAGCAAGAAAAGAGACAAAAAGGGCGAAGAGAGGGCCTTGAGATCAGTTCTGTGGGAATTCACCGATGACGCAGGACTCAGCAGGGCTTGAAATCAGCACAGACATGCACAACTTCCCGGCCCCAAATCGGGTAGCAGCTGTGCCCCCTGCTCCTAGCTCATAGGCCTCCTTTGTGTGAGTCACAGTCAGGCCCTGGAAACCAGCCCCTCTGGGAGGTAGGGCCTATCAGGGACTCTCTCAACACTGAAATGAAGGCCTGGGGAAGCAGAGGACACTGGGGGCAGGTGGGCGGGGGAGCACTAACTTCAGAGCCCTGGACACTGTCTCTGAGACGCCTTCCTCATTGTGCTCCACAGCATTTCTGTAACCAGGGCCCACTTTGGTTATGACTTCTGACATCTCAGCTGTCCCCCACCAGCCCCGGGAGCTGGTGGGGAAGAGGGTTGTGTCGGGTCCACCTTGGTCACCCCAGCTCAGCGGCAGGCACGAGGGTGGTGCTCGTGGCTGAGTTAAAGACCACCCACACTCACTTGGCGCTGCAGGACTACCAACAGCATGGGTGTAATGGTGACTTGCACTCAGCATCTCACTCCATCCTTGCAAATGCCTTAAGGCTGCTGTGGTTAGCACCCCCATTTTACAGACACAGAAACGAGCCTTGGAAAAGAGGCAGCTTGCCTGGTTATAGAGCTAGGAGGGGGCTGGAAATCGCACAGTGACTTCCCCAGGAGCTGTAAGCCTAACGTTATGAGGAATGTCAAGTGCTCAGCTGGGCCACGCACAGAGTCAGTGCCACTTTTGCCCTTGGGCTCACTCAGAACACACTTCCTGATTGCTTCTAGGTGCCCGGCACTTTTCTGGGAGCTAAGATGCTGAGCAAGGAGGAAGAAGTACCTGACTTGGGCAGTAGACACTGTGGTGGGGGAGTCAGACAGATCTAAGGAAACAAACCCAGCCATGATGCAATTCCAGGAAGCCACATGTACTTGAAATAAAATAAAGGGTCACCTTAGCGGGTGGCACGAATGAGAGCTGCTACCACTACTAGTACTGCGATGGTTGGTGTCACACCAGCCATAACCTAACAACTGAAAACAAATCCTTAAACCTAAACAAGCTCCTGCTGTGTGCCAGAGGCTTGGACACAAAGACAAGTGTGACCCAGCCCTACCTTTCAAAGGGACAGAGAGGCATATCTTCAAGCATTTACTCACTCCCCAACACATTTTTATGGAGCTGCCCTGTGCCCAGGGCCTCCTGGGGGCTGAGCACCCAGCAGTGCAGGAAACAGCCCTGCTCCCTGCACTCCTAGTTTGCAGTCTGGTTGAGATGGATGTGAAAACAAGTAAAACAAACACATAAAGAGAGTAAGTATAAATCGTGACAAGTGTCAGAAGAAAAGAACACAGTGAAGAAGAGCATTACCATGACGCGTGGAAACGAGCACAGCCGCATGGACGTGGTCAGGGAGGCTAAGTATAAATCGTGACAAGTGTCAGAAGAAAAGAACACAGTGAAGAAGAGCATTACCATGACACGTGGAAACGAGCACAGCCGCATGGACGTGGTCAGGGAGGCGCCAGGCTTCCCGGGCCTGCCTCCTGCCACTGCCCCAGCAGGCCGCCATGGGTCTGTTCTCAGGGCCCCTCGATCCTGGCCAGTCTTTGTGCTTGAAAGGCGGACTCGCTTTGGGCCAATAAATATTACTCCAGTTCAAGTGTAGTAACTGAAGTGAAAACCAAGGTAGCTGATGATCAGGGGTGACGGTGAGTTAACAAGCCATGACTACATAAAGAGAATCATTTTGATGGGAGCTTATGCAGGCTTTGAAGGGAATCCTAATCCAAACTGTGGACAAAGCTAACTCACAAACATGGGCTAGTGAGGGGCTGCTGAAAGGTCTGTACCAACAGTCATTAACCCCAACGACTGGGAATGCTTTCGCATGCTCACGAAGCCAAGAGACTGACGGGTTTTACTTCGCAACTAGAACAAGGCTTCCTGAACAGCGGTTCCCCGATGCCTTGTACCACCCAGGCCATCCTGAAGATCCACAATGAAACAAGGAAATGAGAAATAACAGACGAGGTAGGGAGGTTCCTGTACAGTCAGGGCTATTCAATTTAAACAAGATTTTCAATCCTAAATTTGACAATTTCCCCCACTCTCTACTTTTTTTTGATGTAAAATGTTTTCTTTTTTTAATATGAGAACAATCGAAATGGTAAATGGGGCAACTTATTATCTTTTTTTTCTTTACATCCTTATTTTAATAAACAACTGGTAACCCCACTGTGTGTGTGTGTTGTGGGGGGTGGGATGGGGGGTATTACTGATTACTGATGAGCAAAATCTTAACATCTGGGTAAAATGACCTCCACAGTCCTTTTCAAAACTTTTCTAACGGTCTTAGATTCTAAGATGTGGTCATAGTCCCCACACGAAGAGGTTCTCAGCAGGGAGCTGCACCAACCCCTAGGAGGCATCTGGGAATGCGTGGGGGTGCTGCAAGTAGTCACAGTGACTGGGGGCACTAATGACATTCAGTGGGTGGGAGCCGGGGATGCAAAATGTCTTGTGATTTGCACAACAGTTCTGACAAGGAAGAACTATCCTGCCCCAAATGCTGATGATGCCCCCTCACCCCAATTGCAAAGCATTAACTAGGGAGTGTGAGCAGCCCTGTCTGGCCACCAGTGGCTTTTCTTTCCTGTCTCTGCAGTAACTGGACACCAGAGGGCACCATGCCACTCAAGGACACTTGAGAATAAGTGTCTCCACCAGCCACTCTCCCCTGGAGGCATTCTGGCCCATCTATGTAACAAGAAGGTTGTTTTCACTTGCTCTGTTCTAAATCCTTATGAATAGGATGTAATTTTCCCCCCAACAGTCTTTAACTGATAAACTAAAAGTTGGTTACCTTATATTGCACCCATAATTTTGACACTATTTTTTGAAGGATGTGCCTATAAAATCTGAGTTGAGACTCACTGGTCTCCAGGATGAACAAAGAACTTTAAACCCGAGGCCTGACGAACGGTTTTGTGCTGCCCCCTGCCCTCCTCCCTTCACTCCCCTGCTGTCCCAGGGCATCCTGATCTCTTACCAGTTTCTGGTTCTGCCTTGTCCTTTTCCACAGGTTCCACTGGTGAGTCTCGGGGCTCTTTCTTCTGTGGTGCAGTGCTGGAGAAGACACCAACTGGAGCCCACTCCAGATACAGGGGGACATGGTGGAACTGCAGAGATGGGGGTGATGGCACTGTGTGTCCTCATCACAGCACACAGCTGGGAAGAGACTCAGTCCCATTCACAGATGAAGAGCCTGAGTGTCAGAGAGGACAGCGACCCACCCAGGGAACAGAGCCAGAAGGAAGAGCACAGCCCAGAACCCTAGGTGCTGCCTACTCCAAGAACAACACTCAGGTCCCCTTGACGCATCTTGGATGCAGGGGAAAGGCTCAAGTCTCTATTAGCCCTGGACACATGATGGCTACAAGCCCCTTCTGTGTTTTCCCTAATCAGAGTATGAAACAGGGAGCAGGACAAGGGGAAGCAGAGTTGCTGGTAAAGTGCAGCTCTCTAGGAGGAAGTGTAGTACGCCAGGAAGAGAACATGCTTTCTTTTCCACCATATGCATACCGCCACAGACAATGCAAGTACACGTCTGTGTGTGCACAGATAGTTTTTAAACAAGGATAAACAAGGTGCTGATAATAGCTGCCTTAATGGTACGGAGCTGGGGAGCTGCAGGACAAGGGTGGGAGGAAGACTTGTCCATGTGACCTTTCTGAATCTTTCCAAATTCCGCACAAGCCTTACGAATGAATTACATTCAGGAAAAAAACACATGTTGGGGAGTGAGATGACAGGAGTTCTGACAGTTGCTTGTATGACTTTCCAGCTGTGTGGCCCTGGGTCTCAGTTGAGGCTCTCTGGGCTCGGTTTTCACATGTGCAAACTGAAGACAGCAATGGTATTGTTGGGAGGAGTCAGTGAAATAGCCACGGTCAAAACAAGCAGGAGGCCTCGCCTCGTCGCTGCCCTTGACCTGCTGCTCACACATAGGGAGAGACTTCTGCTGACAGGCATGTCCTCCCCAAGCAGGGGAAGGAGGAAAGCATGGTGCCCACACTCCAGGGGGTGCCCATGTCTCAGTCGTGGCGCCCCACCTAGGTAACTGCTCTGTGGGTCAGGCACAGGCCGACTTCCTGAGAGCTTCGTAGGCATGAGGAAAGCATGGTGCCCACACTCCAGGGGGTGCCCATGTCTCAGTCGTGGCGCCCCACCTACGTAACTGCTCTGTGGGTCAGGCACAGGCCGACTTCCTGAGAGCTTCGTAGGCACAGAGCTCCAGGCTGGGGACTATTATGGGGCTGGAGCAGCAGAGGATGAGAATTCATTTTCCCACCTGCAAAATGGGGACACAAACAGCTTCCTGTAAGGATCACTGGGGGGACCAAGGTCTGCAAAGCACTGAAGTGCCTGGTAAACAGAAACTACTTGTGGTGGGTTGAATGGTGGCCCCCAAAGAGATGGCCATCTCTAGACACCCCAGAACTTGTGAATGTGACCTTCCATTGGGAAAAAAGGGTTTCTGCAAATGTCATTAATTGAAAGATTTTGAGATGAGATTATCCTTGTGGGCCCTAAATCCGATGACAAGTGTCTTTATAAGGGAAATATGGAGGAAGACTTGAGACAAAGAAGAGACTGCCACATGAAGATGAAGGCAGAGACTGGAGTGACGCAGCCATAAGCCAAGGGATGCTTGGAGCCACCAGAAGTCAGAAGAGACAAAAAACAGCTTCCTGGGGCCTTCAGAGAGAGCATGGTCCTACTGACACCTTGATTTCACACTTCTGGCCTCCAGAACTGTGAAAATAAACTCCTATTATTTTAAGCCACCCAGTTTTTTCTAATTTGTTACAGCAGCCACAGGAAATAAATACACTGCTGTTTCCTTTGTTTTTTTTAACAAGGAATTAAGGCGTGCTTTCTGGAGGATGGTTTAGAGCTTCCCTTTCCCATTCTTCCTATCCAGAGATGTTCTCAGGGGTGGGGATGTTAGTACGGATAATATCCAGAACTGTTACAGTGACGGGTGGTTTTTGGACTGAGCTCCCACATGCCAGGGCTATACTAAGACTGTCAATACATCAGCTCACTGCATCCTCTCCCTTGAAACAGCTCTCAGTCCTTCTCCAGCTCATCTCTGGCAGCCCTACCTTGGAATAGGCCAGGTTTCTGAAGGCCTTGCGGGCCTCCAGGGGTTCCAGGAACTCCACGATGGCAGTGATGCCGCCCTCAGGCAGCAGCACGCGGCCCAGGCTGCCAAAACGGCTGAAGATCTCCTGCAGCTCAGCTGCCAGGGTGCCCGCTGGGAGGTTCTTCACCAGAATCACAGTCTTGCTTCGTTCTGCTGCAGCCTGCAGGGAGATGAATACAGGTAGGATGGCAGGAGGGAGGGTCCCAGCCCCTGATAGCAGTATTGATCTGTGGTAGCCACCAGGCAAGGTACCCCACTGGGACCCGGGAGGACCTACCCTCTCTGGCATGCCACTCACTCCATGGCTGAGAGGCAGCTCCGGGAACTGGACCCCTGGGCTGATTCCCACCCCCTCCACTTCTTAACTGTGGCCAATTCTGACAGTGTCAGCCAGAGCCCCCAGCTGCACCTCCCCAGTCTCCCAATGCCAGGATCTGCATCCCAGTGCTACGGGCTTCTACCTGGAACTACAGATTGCCCACTGCCATGTGCAGCAGGTGGGAAGTGCTAAGGAATTAACATCCCCTGGGAGCAGCCCAAGGCTCTCAGAAGTTGGTGCCTCCCTTGTCCTCGGGTGGGCAATTCTGAGGTGTGAGCTTTGCAGGCATCCCCCTAGATAAAGCTCCCATCGCCTACTGGGGTGGCACAGCCGGGACCCATCTCCTCCCCTTCCCCTTCCCCCTTTCTCACCAGTGCTTTCTTGCACTGCCCGAAAAAAGACCTGCTCTTGAATCCTGTCTGAGAGTCTGCTTTTGGGAGAACCCAAGCTAAGATGCTAGACATGTGGCCTTGAGAAATGTATGTAACTGTCCCTCAGCTCCACCATGTACAGCAAAGATGCAGCACCTATTTCGTAGGATCGCTCCAGGAAGAGATTTCATGGAACAGGTTAGTAAAAGTGCACATAGTACGAGTATTCTGTAAATGTTAGCACTTACTTTATCAAAAAAGAATGTTGGAAAGGTATTAAGAAAACCAACAAAGCACAGTGGAAAAAATCCTGGCATATGGCATAACTGGGCATGAGTCTCAGCTCAGCCACTATTCTGACCTGGCACCTTGGGTAAATGCTTTCCCTCTGTGGGCCTCAGTTTTTCTCATCTGCAAAATGGGCTAACAGTAACACCCATCCTGTAGAGGCCTCACATGGTTACTATAAGGACTGAGCAAGGTAAGGAGGTGAAAGCAGTGCAGGTGGGAAGGGCTGGGCACCAGCAGGTGTCTCAGGTGCCACTCAGGCTACACAGTGTAATGTTAGGGGCAGGAATTTGAGGCCAGGAGGCTCTACCACGACAAGCTGTGTGACCCAGAACAAGTGACTTCACCTCTCTGAGTCTGTGGTCCCTTTTGTACAGGGGGAGCACAGCAGTGCTGTTTTCACAGGGCTGTTACATGAGTGTAATGAGCTAATAAAACAAACTCAGGACAGTTCTCAGGTAAGTCTTAATAAGTGTCAGCTATTAGCATATTTATTTATCCATCTATCCACCCTTCCTTCTCTCCATCCAATCATTCACCCACCACCGTTCCAACACCCTTCCATCATCCACCCATCCTATCTATCCTTCCATCCTAACTCATCCAATTTGAGCTGAAAATTTAAGGCCTGGTAAAGCTGTCAAAAGAGCTGTCGTGGGAGTCAGAAGCCCTGAGTTTGAGTCTAGGCTCCTGTCACATGCCATTTGCCTTTGTAAATCACTTCCCCACTCACTAAGCCTCAGTTTCCCAGTCTGCAAAATGAAGGGGTGGATGTCACGTGGTCTCATAGGGCTCTCCAAGCCTTAAGCCTCCAGAAGTCTAAGTTACTCCCTGGTGGGGAATAAGCATGTTGAGGTGCTAAACTCTCCCCTGTCAGGTTCGAGAGGGATCTAATTCCCCAAACAGACCATATCAAACTCAAAAGCTTCTGCACGGGCTCTCCAAGCCTTAAGCCTCCAGAAGTCTAAGTTACTCCCTGGTGGGGAATAAGCATGTGGAGGTGCTAAACTCTCCCCTGTCAGGTTCGAGAGGGATCTAATTCCCCAAACAGACCATATCAAACTCAAAAGCTTCTGCACAGCAAAGGAAACAATCAACAGAGCGAAAAGACAACCTACAGAATGGGAGAAAATACTTGCAAACTATGCATCTGACAAGGGATTAATATCCAGAATATACAAGGAACTCAAACAACTTAATAGTAAAAAAACAAATAATCCAATTAAAAAATGGGCAAAGGAGCTAATAGACATTTCTAAAAAGAAGATATACAAATGGCCAACAGCTCGTCACTGTTGAAAGAATGCTTATCACTAATCATCAGAGAAATGCAAACCAAAACCACATTAAGATATCACTTCAACTCAGTTAGACTGGCTATTATCAAAAAGACAGGGAATAACAAATGCTGGCGAGGATGTGGAGAAAGGGGAATCCTCCTACACTGTTGGTGGGACTGTAAATTGGTGCAGCCATTATGGAAAACAGTATGAAGTTTCCTTAAACAACTAAGATAGAACTACTATATGGCTCAGCAATCCCAATGCTGGGTGTGTACCCAAAGGAATGGAAATCGCTACGTTGAAGGGACACCTGCATCCCCACATTCATCACAGTTCTATTTCCAAATAGCCAAGATATGGAACCAACCTAAATGTCCATCAACAGACAACTGGATAAGGAAATTGTGGTATATGTACACAATGGAATACTACTCATCCATAAAAAAAAAAAAAAAAATGAAATTCTGCTATTTGTAGCAACACGGATGAGCTTAGAGAAAATTACATTAAGTGAAATAAGCCACGCAAAGAGAGAAATACCGAATACTTTCACTCATAAGAGGAGACAGAAAGAAAGAAAGAAAATAATAAGTTGGACTTTTAGAAGCAGAGTAGAACTGTGGTTACTAGAGATGGGGAATAGGGAGGGGGAATAGCACGCCCAAACTGACGAGTGCTCCACGTGTACACACTGGATTTAGCGAGGAAAAAAGAAGGCAAACTATCTTGCCATTTCTTCAATATTGTACATATGTGGAAATGATAATATTTTGGATATACTGAATTAAACAAAATATATTATTAAAATTAATTTTGCCTGCTTCTTTTTGCTTTTTCAAAATGTGGCCACTAGGGCATTTACCATAACATAAGTGGCTTGTATTCTATTCCTAATGAGCAGAGCAACCTCGAGCGTCGAAAACAAGGGCCGACGACATGAAGAGGGGCTTATGGGCAAAACCAGCAGACGGCCTTCGTCGACTGGCTGAACACACACTCCCAGGTTCTGCCAAAGATGGACTCAGCTGCTAACTGGGCACACGTGCACTTTAAAAGAAGGTATGTGGATACAAAGCATACAGAGCTCTTTATATAAAATATATTTTGTATTTTATACAAAAGCAGTGTGTGTGTATGTATGTATATGTGTGTATGTATATATTACATGTATATACAGGTCCCTCACTCACGTGGTCAAACACTTGACTCTTGGTGGCATTGTACTTCTGTGCAATGGCATCAGCCACGGCATTCGGCCCCATGAACAGCGTATTCCAGTTGTGAGAGCTGAGAGGTAGAGGCAGAACAGGGAGGTCACACTGTGGCTGAATGAGGGAAACTTTTTCAGATGCAAAACCTGTAAAAAATGAGCTCACAGGCCTGTTTTTCTAACCGCCCCCCATGTTCCCTGTCGTGGGCTAAGTACATAGGGCCTGAAGACAACCAGAGATAACGACAGGAGCCATCCCTAACAGTTCAAGCATTCATGCTATACCAGGGACGAAGCACTTTGTACACAGTGATTCATTTAACCCTTATAACACTGCAGAAGTAAGCCCCTACTATTTTTCTCCCCCTGTTACAGATGAGGAAACTGAGGCTCAGCAAAGTCACAGACTAAACCCATCACAGGGAGTGAATGAACCCAGGTAGCTTAGGGCTGGGATGAGGGCAGCAAAGGCTTGGGACTGGGGCTCACAGGCGGTTAATGGGTAACACACACCTGGAGCTGTTGGCTTTGTCCTTGGCCTCTTTCTTCTTTTTATAAGATGAGGATCCCGGGGCTTCAGGGTCCTCACTGGCTTCCTTCTTGATGGTGGATGGTAGTACGTGGAGCATCCTGCCCTGGAGGGGATGAGAGGAAGGCAATAAACAAGAGCCTTGCCCTCCTGCAGGCAGCAGCAGGTGTTTCTATGTCCTGCCCAAGAGTGTTGGCCTCTGCCAGGAGGAAGCCGGACCCAGTGCTGAAACCCTGACTGGAGGACAGGGACGTCAGAGAAAATGACCATGGGGTCACTCTCAAGCCACCTGCCACAAGGACCTGACACTGTGATGGGGCCATATGACACAGCCATGCAAAGGAAACTTCTATTAGTTTATGAGGAACACCTGCAGCATTCCCACATCCCTTCAAGCCGTGCCCACCTGCCCCTGCATAGGTGGGTGAGATGTGAGCTCCATGCAGGTGGAGCCAGGTCTGGCCTGGTGACTACAAGGAGATCAGTAAATCATGAGCGAACTAATGAAAACAGGCAAAAGGGAGATGGAGTGGCCTGGGTTCGAGGCTGAGTGTTAAGTACATGACTTTTTGATGCTGGAAAAAAGAGAAGAGTTTCTTACACTCTGCCGTGGCCATTTTAATATGCCCATGTCAAAATTCCTTTCTTGCTTATTCCACTCCCAAGGTGATATTTCTGGAGATGGAGAGCATATTTATTCATTTAACAAATGTTTTCTGAGTGCCTACTACGTGCCAGGCACTGTTCTAGGTGCCATATATCAGTGAATGGAACAAACCAGACCCTGCCCTTATCTCATGGAACTTCTCACCTTCTAATGGCTTATGTAAGGTGGCAGTTTGGGCCATGGTGTGTGTTCTTTGGCCCAAAATGTGGACACACATGTACACACCCACACACACCCACTCACAGCCTTCCCCTGGGCAGACCCTGAGCAATCTTACCTGGAACACCTGCCCGTCCACTTCTGCGCAGGCCTGCACAGCATGGCAGTTTGGGCCATGGTGTGTGTTCTTTGGCCCAAAATGTGGACACACATGTACACACCCCCACACACCCACTCACAGCCTTCCCCTGGGCAGACCCTGAGCAATCTTACCTGGAACACCTGCCCGTCCACTTCTGCGCAGGCCTGCACAGCATGCTCGGGGAACATGAAGGTGGCAAAGGCAAAGCCCTTGGGCTTCTTGGTCAGGCTGTCAATGGGGTAGTGGAGTTCAGATAGGGGACCTGAGGACAGGAGGAATGTCAGTATCCTGTGGGCCGGGGCCGGGCCAGGGCCTGAGATCTGGCTGAGAAAGGTGCTGGGCATTAATCAGATGATGGGTGTTATTTTTTTGTTTTCATTTTTGTTTTTAGTGGCTGGCCAATACAGGGATCTGAACCCTTGACCTTGGTGTTGTAACACCACTCTCTAATCAACTGACCTAACTGGCCAGCCCCAAAGATGGGTTTTAACTGGCAAAAGCATCGACCTGCTGCTGTGGGGCAGTGACGGGTGCTCTGCCCAAGGGAAGAACGTGGTGAGTGCCAGCCATGAGACCACCACAAAGGTCAAGGGTATCATTTCACAGTCTGTCATGTGTCTATCCTAAGAGGAAAGATGCCTGGCTAGGTTCTGGCTCCACCACCTACTATGTGTGTGGTCTGCCTTGGGCAAGTCACTTAGCTTCCATGTGCCTTGGTCTTCTCATCTGTAAAATGGCATAATAAGAGTACCTAGCTCAGAGCATGACTGTGAGGGCTAACACGTGTAGTGCACTGAGAAGTGCCTGCTACAGTCAGTGCCATGTAAGCGTCTGCCCTAATATTACTGTCTTACTCAAACTAAAGCACATCCTTTCTCATTGGTTTCCACTCTGAACACCAGGATGAGCTCATGGCTCCTCTCTGTATCTTTGTCTTCCCAAATGGATACTTGCAGTCTACTGACAAACCCTCTCCTGTCGAGCTAAGCCCTGCTGTGTAAGGCAGAGCCCCAGCCTGTGTGGAAGGATCCAGCGAGCTGGACAGCAGTGGACACAGGTGTGGAGGTTACACCAATTTCCCCAATGGCAGGTCCCACTCAGGGCTGCCTCACCCCATAACTGGGCCTATAACAGCTGTTAAACCAACTTCTCTCATCCTGCACTGCCCACAGCCAGCCTCTGAATAGATGTGGGGAGACACTATGGAGGTCTCAAAAGCTTCAAGACCTTGACCCCCATTCTGAACACTACCTTTCTTAACCCCACAAACTGTAACCCCACAAACAAACACAGCCTTGTGTGACCAAGTTCTTGACCTGAGAAACAGCAGCAGCAGCAGTAGCGATAACCCTCACTATAGAATCTGAGGACGCTCAGTTTGGACAGGAAGGCTTCAGATAGCAAAGAGTGCTGACAGTGAGGAACGCTGCAGAGGTATTCCAAATGCTGAGCAGCAAGAGCTGGCACAGCAAGGAAGAGCTCAGAAAAATGTGTGCAGATGTGTCAGTTCTGAGTTTAGAGAGCACGAGTTCAGAGAGCAAAGCATGCCTGCAGCGCTATCTTCTCCTGCCCGCTCTGCTAATCCCTGCATACATCACGCCACTCAATCCTTGCAGCGGCTCAGGGACTGTGGGTCCCATGTTACAGATGAGGACACTGAGACTAGAGAGGTAGAATGATGTGCCCAAGGTCAAGGGCTAACAGAAAGCCAACTGGGACTTGACCTCACATCATCTGAGCTGGAGCTCTGCATGCCTAACCACTGACCTGTCCCTGCGGGCAGCAAGGCCGGAGGCCAAGTCCCTACCATATTTGGAGAAGAGCTTCTCCAGGTCCTCCTCTGTGCTGGTGTAGGGCAGGTTTCGCACGAAGAGCCTCCCAGAGTCAGCCAGGTCCTCCTCCTCTTCATTCTCCCCGAGTGTCCGGCCTTCCCAGGCTTTGGCACTATTCTTCAGGGGCCCCTTGGTCATGGGGACATTCTTTTCCCTGAACACCTCGATGTAGCGGCTACCTGCAGGAGAGGAGGCAGGGCTTAGAGGGAGGCTTGGAACCTGCCAGTGACTCCTGGCTGGGCATTCGAAGCTCTTCTTTGCTGTCTTCCAAATGCCACGCCAAGGCGACTGGTGACAGGGGCTGATGCATGCTCTGTTAACCAGGGTGGCAGACTGAGCCAATGCAGACCTGAACCTGAAGGCCCCGAATCACACCCACCCTGCAAATTCAGCTTCAACTCTGGAGGCAGCCTGCCTGGGCCATCCCAGATTGCAGGGACACATCCTCTAAATTCTGGGGCACATTCTCTGGGCACTGCCTGCTACTCTGCCTTGGGAAAGGTCTTCTGTGACAACCAACTCTGGGCAGTGACCTGCTCAAAAGCTATTTGCATGCATGGCCCTCTGTGTCCCAGCAGGGTGTGACTATCACCATGTCCTCCACATGCACTGCTAGGTCCTCAATAAATACTGCTGCCTGACTTGCTCACCAGACTCTCGAGGCTTCACGCCTTCCCTAACAGAACTCATGTCTTTGCTAGGGGTCACTGGCTAGATCTGAATCACCTGTCCATGCCACGTATGGGTCAAAGATTATGTCCCTAGACATCGTTTAGAAGACCTCCCACCTCAGGGAGTTTGCACTGGTTGCTGCTCCTACTGGTCATCTTGCCCCAGATAGCCACGGCTTGCTTCCTCGGCTCCAGGTTTTTGTTCCAATGCCCCCTCTCAGTGGGGCCCAAGTAGACACAGTCCTGTTTAAAGACGTGCTGCCTCCAACCCCAGCCCTCTCCTTGAGCCTCTGTATTTTCCCAGAGTACGACCATGTACATGCTGTTATTTGATTCCTATCTCTCCCCACTGTGTGTCAGTTTACTCTGTCAGCTCCAGAA